TCCACCCAAGGGTACTGAGCGTACTGGCAGAAGTGCTCACTGAGCCACCATTTACCAACAGATTTGGCTATATGGAGAGGTCCTAGTTGACTAGATTTTAGCCAGTGTGACACCTATGCCCCAGAAGTGCTGGAAGGATGAATATAGGGAACTACAGGCCTGTCAACCTGACCTCAGTGCCCAGGAAAGTGATGGAGCAGATCATTTTCAGTGCCATCATGTGGCACGTACAGACTAAGGGGGGGGATCAGGCATGGGTTCATGAAAGGCAGGTCCTACTTGACCAACTTGACCTCCTTCTATGACAAGGTGACCTGCTTAGTGGATGTGGGAAAGGCTTTTAAATTTTGTCTGTCTGCCTGGACTTCAGTAAAACCTTTGACACTTTTTCCCGGTGTTCTCCTGGAGAAACTGGCTGCTTAGGGCTTGGATGGATGTATTGTTCACTTGGTGAAAAACTGGCTGGCTGATTGGGCTCAGAGAGTGATGGTTAATGGAGTTATATCCAGCTGGCAACCAGTCTTCAAGGCTCAGTATTGAGGCCAGTCCTGCTTAAGATCTTTATCAATGACCTGAGCAACGAGATTAAGGGCACCCTCAGGTCAGTTTGCAGACCACACCAAACTGGATGGGAGTGTTAATCTGCTGGAGGATAGGAAGGCTCTACAGAGGGATTTGGAAAGGCTGGATTAATGGGCTGAGACTGACTGCATGAGGTCAACAAGGCCAAGTGCTGAGTCCTGTCCTTGGGCCACAACAGTCCCAGGCAGTGCTACAGACTGGGGAGAGAGTGGTTGGAAACTGGCCTGGCAGAAAAGGACCTGGGGGGTGCTGGTTGACAGCAGCTGAGCCCGAGCCAGCGATGTGACCAAGTGGCCAAGAAGGCCAGTGGCATCCTGGCTTGGATTAACAACAGTGTGGCCAGCAGGACCAGGGCAGTGATTGTCCCCCTGTACTTGGCACTGGTGAGGCTGAACCTCGAGTCCTGTGTTCAGTTCTGGATCCCTCACTGCAAGAAAGACATTGAGATGCTGAAACATGTCCAGAGAAGGGCAATGGAACTCATGAGGGGTTTGGAGCACAGGTCCTATGAGGAGTGACTGAGGGAGCTGGGGTTTTTAAGCCTAGAGAAAAGGAGACTGAGGGGAGATCTTATTGTTCTCTGCAACTGCCTGAAAGGTGGCTGTAGCAAGGTGGAGGTCAGTCTCTTGTCCCAAGTAACCGGTGATAGAATAAGAGAAAATGGCCTCAAGTGGCCCCAGGAGAGGTTTAGATTTGAAATTAAGGAAGATTTCTTCACTGAAAGGGTTGTCAAGCATTGGAATGGAGTCTCCAAGGAAGTGGTGGAGTCACCATCCCGGGAGGTACTTAAAAGCCGTGTAGATGTAGCACTTAGTGACGTGGTTTGGTAGTGGACCTGGCAGTGCTGGGTTAATGGTTGGACTTCATGATGTTAGAGGCTTTTTCCAACCTAAATATCAGGGTCTCTGCCAGTTTAGATACTGTTGCTCAGTTAAACAGAACTGTGGAGAATCACACCAGCAAGGTCTCTTATGCTTGAACCAATCTTGCTTAATGTGTTGAACGACCTGAAAAAAGGTTATAATAGCAGGACAACACAATAATGTAAAATGCTAAATGAAATTATATGCTAATGAACATAAAGTAGTGCATGTGAGAAGGGAAAGGGAACTGATGAAAAATTTCATTGTATGTATAGAGTAGAAAACTCTACATTATGTATTATCACTCATGGAAAAGATTCTGAAATCAAAGTAGATTTTTGGTAAGGTAAAAAGGTAAAAATCAAAGAGCCCTCTGGAAAACACTTTAGTAAAAGGGAAATTTAATTTAAGAATTGTTGGAAAATAGGGGCAGTGCAGAAAATGTGTTTCAAATGTATAAATCTATAATTTGTCTGAATATTGTATTTGTCCTGTCCTTGCCATCACATCTTAGGACACAGGGATACTGGAAATGACTTTTTGAAAAGGTGGGGTGAGTAAACGAATGATCAGAGGAGTGGAAAAATGTCTGTATGGTGATTGACTAGATAGACCGAGTTTCTCTACCTTGGAAATAAAATAACCTAGAGAAGATAAGGTGGAGCAAATGAAATAATGAATTGCATGAAGAGAGTGAGTGCAGAACTGTCATTTCAGTATCTCTTGAAATATAAGAACTAAAGAATTTGTGTTTATATGTCCAAGAAAGTTTAAAACAAAGAGTAAGAAACACTTTTTCATACAAAAAATAATCAAACAATATGAGACACTGCCACTAGATGTTGCAAAGGCCAAAAGTTAACTGAGTTCAAAAAGGGATTAATGGCTACTTTTGTTTCATGAATTGTAAAAACATCCTGCTCAGACACAACTTCTGGCTGAGGAAGTATCTAAACCACTAATTGCCAGAAGATGGGAAGGAGGGGTTGCTAAGCTCTTGCCACAGTTCTTATAATCTTTCCTTATGCATCTCCTAATGGGCGTGTTGGGACCAGGATAATGGGCTAGACAGATTGTGTTGTTTTGTTTCTTTTTTTTGGTCTGACCTATTACAGTTCTTTTTATTTTGTAGGTGTAGATTTTTTTTTTCAGTAATAGGGAGACAAAATGGAAATTTTCAACTTGTTTTTTGAGTTCAGTAAATACTGTCTGGAATAAGATTCTTAATAGGTAATTATGAATGATCACACTTTTTGCTTTTCTTATTTTAAAATATAGAAAATTAGTCCAAAAATTCATCTATTGCACATTTAGGAAGTTTTTCTCTAAATATAGGGAGATGTGGATGAAGGTGAATCATTTATATATGTCATTTGAGTGATAATGTTGTATGTCTAATTTAAAGACTAATGTGTCAGAAAAGCTGAGATAGTAAGCAGAGGGGGAGTTTTCTGTGGCCCTTCTCAGAAAGGATGTGAAGGGTGTTATTTTTGCTATTGTTGTCAGTTAAGGAATACTAAGTTTCAGTGAAAGAATATCCTAAATTCTACAGTTGCACTTGCAACAATTAATAGGAACAGAAGCCAACAAGGAGAGTTTCTTTAACATTTATACTTTTTTTTTTTTTTTTTTACAGCTCTATAATCTTTTTTTCTCCTCAGAGTGAATTTTGGCTTTTGGGACCAGAGGAAATATGAATGATTTTTTGTTGTTGGTTTTTTTTCCTTCACTAAGCTGATTTTCTAGGTTTTTTTATGTGAATTTATAATATAGTTTATTTCTATTTACTAAGCAGAGGTTTAATCAATTATCATAGTGCACTTTAGAAATGAAAGACACATTACTCTGTGTCAAATGAGTTTATCCTGATCCGCACGCAAACTATACACAACATTATAAATCATAGTCTCAAACTTCTAAAGTTGTTGGTTTTGTTTATTAGGAAACCTTGCTTCAGATCCAAAAAGGCAATAAGAAAGCACGAAGAAAGTGGGCCTCAATTGATCATGAAATGCAATTACACAATATTCAAAGCTGAGTGAAATAAAGACGTTAAGTAGCAGCAGCCCGTAAAGTTTAAAATTAAAAGTAGTTTCATCAAATACGATGAAAAGGGAGATTGGATCAATGAAACTAATCTCTTGTATCTTGTTTGCTGTCAATTTACATGAAATGATACTTGAGGTCCGCTCCTTTTCATATGTACATAAATACATTTTGTTTATTTATGGAATATTACTGGAGTGGTCTGGCAGGAGATTTCTTGAGTTCAGTGTATAAATGGAAGCAAAAGAATGAAAAAACCTTCCATCTGGTCATCCTTAGCCTAGCTAATGTAATTGCAGATTTTGTTCTAACAGTAAAGTTTAATATAACAACACAGAACTTTACTATTGTGTTGCTGTGTTGCAATGAATCAGTATCTGAATTAAATAAATGGGAACTATAATAAAACCATCTTTTTTGTCCTATCTGGTATAGTATTATTTAAAACTGTAGCTTGTATCCAGAAGGTAGACAGCAATCCACTATTTTGTCAGATTATCTGTAGGATACCAATAGAAACTTGAAAAAAAAAATAAATTCATTTTCTCTTGCTTTTCCTGAATCTAATTTCTCCTTTACCTTTCATCTTCAACTCTTTGGAAACCCTTAGTATGGTTGGAGTGAGGATTAAAGTATTTTTATTAGGGTCTGGGCACCTTTATATAAGAAAAAAAGGCACCTCCGTCTCAAGGCTCTGGGGAACTTGTGATCCCTCACAAAGATGAGCTCAGAACAGCTCAGTACAGCTTCTGCATCGGGTACCATGTTTTACGAGCTGGAGGGTGCAAGGGCATGAAATGCAGGCTCGTTGCCCTTGTGTCAGGGACTACTTATCAAGGAGTTTTTCAGCCTTACTGGTTCACATCATATTTGTTGTAGTGCAAAAATGTGGTTTGGAAGTTAGATGTGCAAATTGTACAGAGCAATGAGAAATAAGGGGGAAGGTACAGATCTAGTGAGGAAGTAGAATCCAGCTGAGATTTAAGGGATTACGATATGGCAGAAACAGATACTGCTGACAGTATTGTTCACTTGTCTTGGTTTGGCTGTGTAAGTTTGTGTGGAAGGGCTTTGGAGAGATGCTGCAAGGTAAAACTATATTAAGCACATAATAGGCAAAGTGTCTAATAAACCTGACAATCCCATAAACAACAAGCAAACATACTCATAACTTTGTTCCTTCTCCATATTAAACGTACATCTGAATGTACAAAAACTTTTTCCCTAAAAAGCATAGTCTAAACTTCTATTTACTACTGATTTTTCAGAAATAATTTTATAGCAGGGAATGTGACATAAAGGTGATTAGAAAACCAGAACCTGTATTTGGAATGAAAAGCTAAACATGTTGCTGTGCTACTACAAGCCAATTGTTTGTTCAATTTTTTTTGCCTTTTGTCAGTCAATTGTAACCTAGTAATGGATACAGCTGTATGGTGTTGCTGGTAGTTATTCTAAGATTTTTTTTTTGCTTTACCTCATTCTTTCCTCTCTTTCTCTGCCTTCTAGCATGCATTTAATCCAGGTGGACTCTGTTCAGCGTTGGATGGAAGATTTGAAGTTGATGACAGACTGCGAATGTATGTGTATTCTCCAGTCCAAGCCCATCAGCATTGAGAAGGATGAACAAAATGAACTTATGCTTTCCTCACAGTATAGCACTTGTGATAACTTGCAGCTTCTATTAAAGAGAGCTTGGATCATAAGCACAGAATTGACAAGGATTGCTCAGAAGCTGGAGAAGAATAGGTGGCAGAGAGTCCACAGCATGACAGTAAGAGTCAACTGCCATGTGCGCTCAATGATAAATGAGTACAATACATTCACCAGGAATCCTTCAGAAGAAATGCACCAGGTATGATGCCTTACCTGATGTCATGTTTCTCTTATTTTTTGTTTATTATTATTATTATTACTTGCTTTAAACAATCTGTAAGAAATCCTTATATACTGATACTGGTCCATGGTTTAAGACTTTCTAATGTCTTTTTGGTGACGGACATTTTATTGAATTATTTTGGATCCTATTTTATAGGCTTGATTCTGAATGTTATTAATGACTAATGGTGTTGAAAAATGTTTTGCTTTTGAACACTACAGGACTAAAGTATTTCGATACCCCATCTGTGAGTTCCTTTGCATTTCCAACATGAAAAATGCTACTTTTTTGTAAACTTCGGTTTTATCTCTACCTGTTTTATTCAGAAAAATAGATAAAGAAGGTTCATGTGAAATATTATGCTTCTGGAGATTTTTCAATTAAGAAACAAGTATTATTTATTTTTGTAAAGAAATTATGTATATGGGTATTGCTTTAAAACCACTTTCTCTTTCTCTCTCTGCAGTTTGAAAAACTTTTAATAGACAAGTGTTCAGAATTTACAGCATTCACAGAAAGGTAACTTAAATTTTGTAATTGGAATATTAATTTTGCTGGTTTATTATGTTGTGGAATTTCTAATGAGAAGCACAAATCCACTAACACCCTCAGTTGTTTGAAATAGGCCCCTGTAGCTCTGCAAGACTTTCTACATACCAGTTTGTGCTGGGTGAAGTGAGTTGCTTTTATCTAAACTGCATCCTTATGAAAGATGGGATCTGCTGCTGCACAAAAAGCCTGGCATAGATGCAAAGCTTCATACAAGTGGATTTTTCAGGACTTATTGACACAACCAAGGGAGAAAGTCTGGCTCTAAGGATGTCAGCAACAAAGTGCCCTTCCAGTTCTGTGGAGCCAAGATTTCAGTTGGTGTGAAAACTTAATATACACATATCCATGTATGTATATCAAACCAAAATAAATACACAGTCCTTTAAATTGTAGTTGTAGGTTTACTCATCTCCCTGCACTCTGGAATCCTGAGAGTAGAAGATAAGAATCTCTATAATTCTTCTCATGGTATCTCCACTTCTGAAGTTACCCAATCCCTTCAGCACAGTTCAATCACTCTTTTTCGATTTACTTTTAACACTATGCAAGTCATTTTGCTTTGGGGGAAGACACCATCTAAATATCAGGAAATAACATTTTTTTGAGCACTGTTTTTTTTGCCAAACCCACACAGCTCAGACTTTATATTCTACTACGAGACACACTGATTTAATGAGAGCTCTGATCAGCCATCCCCCTCCTTGTCTTTTTAACAAAAATTTGATGTAGGTGGGTGACAGACAGGTAAAGCTGAAAAGGTTTACCTGTGTAGGTAAAGAGACTGATCAGCCAAACTGTATCTTCCATTACAGTGGCCTGTCTTGGCAGAATATATTTTAGCAATTCAAATGAATGTATTTCTGTGAGGAAATATTAGTTATTTCATTTGAATTGTATAAAGTTTTCCATCTTTATCTCATTTCTTCAATTATAGCCAAACATCACTGGTTACAGGATAGTTTTACTAATTCTGTAAAGCTACTTTATGTAATCTTTCTGCATAGATGGACAAATTTTACTTTTGAGTATGCATTTTAACTCATCTGGACACACATTCGTTTCTGCATCCTTATTCTGCTATCATTAAACTATGGCAAAAGAGGTAAAGAAATGAAAATTATGGAAAGCAGCCCTTCTTTGATTACGAAAGAGGGATGGATGTGCACAGCTGCAGTTGAAATACAAACACCTGAGAGTGACTAGAACTGTCATCACAAGTGGAAAAGAGCAGTTACACTATATGAACACACAGCATCTGCAGCAAAATTTGGCCTGCAGTCTGTGAAGTTGTTATACCAAAATTATTCAGTAATGTCCACTATTGTTTTTTCATTATATACTTACTATGTGCAGACAAAGCTTTGATTAAAGTCTGGAACGATGCTAATGACACAAAGACATTTTCCTTTCCTGAATTCCCATTATATCCCCATTATTAACACAGGCCTCACCTCTGACAGTGAGATCTGTTGCATCTTTTTTTCCTTCACCCCTTTCCTTTCTCTTTCTTTTCAGGTGCATACAGACTGAAGATGAAGAGATACTGAAGTCTATGAAATCTTGTGTTAATGAAACACTCACCACTGTTGCCCAGTATTTTGGCCAGTTGATAGAGCTGGTTTTAACACATGAGGCACAGGTGAGTTTATATTAAAAAAAGTATTCCAAAATGATTGAATCTTGAGGGAGAACACCCACTGGCGACCCAAGGTCAGGTTGGATGGGGCTCTGAGCAAACTGATCCTAGTGAAAGGTGTCCCTGCTCATAGCATGTGGTGGAACTAGATGTTCTCTAAGGCCCCTTGAAACCCAAGCCATTCTGTGACTAAGAGGAGGATTAGAATTACAACTCCCAGTTTTCAACAAACCCATGATTGGTAATTCAAATATGTTGCAATGAGATTTAGGTGATTGTATTCTCAAATTCTCCAATAAACTCAAATCCCAGACAAAATGATCTTGTGGCTTACCATGTTCCTTTCTTGCAAGCTAACTTCTGGACAATGTCTTGCCAATAAGGTCTTTGGAAACTCCTTCTCTTCCTTTCATACAGACACTGCTTTCCTTTAGAAACCTTGGAAAAAAATTATCTCCTGCTCTCAGTAATTCTCATTAAAAACTGAACTTTTAAAAATATATATATATAGTAAGTATATTATTGCAGCACACATTTTAAACAATGCATGTTTTAGACTCCAGGAAGTAGTGATAAAATATAGTGTTGTGTACAGGTTATACATTGTCCAGAGAGGTTGTTGACTCTTCTTTTCTGGAGATATTCAAGAGCTACCTGAACACAATCCTAAGTAATGTGCTAGGGAATCCTACTTGAGCTGGGAAGTTGGGCTAGATGACTTCCAGTGTCCCTTCCAACCTTACTCATGCTGAAATTCCAATTCTGTGAAATACGCTGAGTAATTAGTCTGAGATTGCAAATGTATTAATTTTTTTTTCTGCTAGACCATTCTTGAAATAGTACCAACCTGCAAACCTAACCAATCTATCATGACTTATACTGTTTTCTTTCTTGAGATCTCGATAAAAATCCCTTTACATCCCCTAGTCTTCCTCATTTATGCCCAATTAATTTGACCATGTTTTAGAGGAGATGTTAGGCTGAAATTTTTTTGTTGTCCCTGCAGAAAAAGAGGACAGGAGAGGCTTAGTGAACATGAAATAATTAATTAGTATTTACTAGAGTGCTAAAACAAAATTAGTGTGTGGTATTGGTTAAATTCTAACATACCTTGATGCGTTAAGATGTCAAAACAAGTGATTCTTTCAGAAACATCCCTTCTAGTTTTAGAAGATGATTACTAGTAGGTGAGAATCTCCAAAATACATTTGCAGAATTGCGGTCCAATTAACAAGCTACTCGCTAATGTGCTTTGGTTAAGAATTATGAGAACCATATGAAATGCCACATATAAGTTGAGGTGTGTAAATAACTTTGCATATTGCAAATTCAGTGAGTAGGTGGTTGTTGTTTCAGTGCTTAGGCTTTTTAATCTGAAGAACAGTTATTCACTGCTGATATTTCTGTCTTTGGGCATCTCAGCATCTGCATGAAATCCCAGTCTCTTTTTCTTCTAAGGGAGTGGAATTATTACTGCACATCATCTCATTTTTATGGGGCTGAAGGACTTGGATTAGAACTTGTTAATAAAAATAATTTTAAGAACAGTTTTCTGAACCATTCAGCCAGCCTATGTGCCCACTTCTACCATAAAAACACATTGTCTGTGGGTAGTTTGTTGCTCTGAATCAGACTAAGTGACTGTGTGAGAGGTCAGAACTTTCAGCTTGCATTGTGTAAAGAGCTTTCTTTTCTAATCAGTGTATCAGGATTTTGTTCAGCATAGGTTCATATCCAAGTGTGAACTGTTAAACTATATTTTTTGTGGAACATTTTTCTAATGCTAAAGGTGAAAGAACAGAGCCTCTTAAAGGGAAGGTAATTGAATTTTGTATAAATAACAGTATAAAATGTGGTATGCTTCCTTGCTCTTCTTTTAAAGTTGGATAAAAATGCTTACCTTCTTCCTCCCAGCAAATATAATTAGTTCTTCCTCTAATGACTCTATTTTGTTTCAGAAAGAGTAAAATGAAATAAACTTTTCTATGGAGCTGCAGTGACACAAATGCAAAAGCAATATAATTATTTATGAAGATAAAAATATGTAGTCCATTTCATACATTGGAGAAAACCCCCTATATTTCTTTATGAGAACTCCCCGTATTGATCAATGACATTTTCTGTGTAGTCATGAACCCAGAGGCTTAGAGAGTAGTGTAAGAAAAGGTATAGCAATATTCCTTATAAATAAGGTGGCAACCTTGTTATCAGCTTTTGCACTAAGCTAAATTACTTGTCTTCTGAAAATTCTGGTTCAATTTCAGGCAAAACCCAATAATAATTTACTAAATATCTGAAGAGTTCTTTGCTGAATTCTCAGACATGAACCCATTTTCTTGCCCTGTAAATATTTATTTTTAAAATATCACTATTCTTGGTTACACCTATTCAAATGCAGTGATAAATGAGTTAGTGTTACCAGTTTGACTTGTCCAACTTTTCTTTCCTTTCTCTGGGTGAGAAGAAAGATGATTAAAGAACTAGGCTGTATACTCCATCTTGTCTTTAAATATAGAATAATAAAATAGAATCATAGAATCTTCAAGTTTCGAAAAGACCTCCAAGGCCAGCGATCTAACACAAATGCCTTTAATTGGAAGTAAGTTATGTTTATTATGTTATGTCACACAGAACCTGCTGAGACAAATAGAGCTGTCAGACAGTGTGCACGTCACCGAGTCGGCGATTAGCAGTTTGTTCAGCCTTACCCAGGAAGGTGCCCATCTGTGCCGTATCATAGCTAAGGTAAGGGCATATATGGAGTGATCCAAAGAGAACTGGTAGTACAAGCAAGTTATTTTACTTAACACAGTAGTGGTTGCAAGTTTTGAAATGTACAGTGCAAGATGAAATTATGCATTTCAGGAGACTAATAGTCTAGGTTAAAGAACAACAAAGTTTATCTGAGAAAGTATTTTTTTTTTTCTTCTTTTGCTGCGTTTGCAAGCCTTACTTTGCAGAGTTTACCACCACAACCATCCTATAAGAAATTTTTTTTTTTAAAGGGCCACAGCCCCTCAATCTTTAATTTAATAAAGCTCAATACCTGTGCAAACATCTTCAGCAGGATGGCAAGCTCCAACAGGCTTCTGAGCATTGCTTCAGTTACAGTTGTCTCTGTATCACCTGAGGTATTCATCATTTGGGAACTTTTTTAATGTCTCTCCCGATAGTACTTTTTAAGTACCAGCCACGTAAGTAGAGAGAAACTTTACAATTGGCCATGCACATGGCTGATTATACAGAGAAACAGAAAGACCTCTTCAACTGTGTGTACAGAGGATGTTAGAGATATTATCAAAGATGTAAATTTAGAAATATTTTGCATGTATTATTATCCTTTAACAAAAGAATATCATTAAAACTGCTTCTGTCAGTGTGTGTTCTTTTTTACTGAATACTTGGTGCTAACTTTTGGTACAAATGAATCATTCTACCAAAATCAATGATACTGGAAATCCCTGAAGAGTTTGCACCTTTGAGGACACTTGGATCTTGGAAAGTGAGAAAGGTAGGACATTGTGTGATGCTGAGGATAGGATAATCACAACAACAAGGTGTGTAGAAAAAAGAAAACCTCCTTCCTTAAGCTTCTGCTTATGTAGTGGTGTGCTAATTCCTTGTCCTACTCAGAGATGAGGTTGAACAGCAACATTTGATTAATTTGACTTCTGATGTGCCTTTAGATGGATATTTACACTATAAAAGGTACTACTCTGTTCTGAAGGCTGAGGATGAGGTAGGCTCAGAAACGTGTAGTGGATTCTGGCAACCGCCTGAGAGGTTTAATTTTTTCTAAATTGGTATTTGAGCTCCACTCAGTGGTACCCAAAAACAATGTTAAAATGTTGAGTACTGAGGAACTGCAGAACTAGCAAACTAATGAAAATTGATGTTGTGCTCTTTACAATTTTGTGACTTCCATAACAGTTTAATTTAGCAGAAGTGAAGTCTCACCTTCCATAAATTACTCAACTAATATATTGCTGAAACCTGGATGTGTCACAAGTTTATAGCTGAGGAAATGCACCCCCTTACGCAAAGAATCCTGAGTGGTGTTTACTGTAATTTGTTGCCAAATTACAGCTGTGATTGAATCACCTGTCCTGTGTGTCTGTCTCCCCTGAGCACTGCGAAATGCATTTGTCCTGACTCACCCTCATCCTTCGCCCCCTGTATTTTCAAATTCAGCCACTTGAATAGTTAGCTGGAACAGTAAAAATGCAAGGTGATTTGAAAAAAAATAAACTAAAAAAAAATCTGAAATTGCATTCACTCATTATGAGGGTGAGAAAGGATTAAAGTTATGCAAAGATCTCAAAACCTTCCACAGAGACTGCAGTTCCCTTGAGAACTGTCATATTATCCTTGGTAAAAACTAGCCAGAGAAGTGGAATATTTGTTCACCGTGAAAGCAAAACTCAACAAATTTGTTCATGTAACCTTGAAGTCTTACTCTCCATGACAAAGTGTGATTTCGTGGCACACTGTTGTAAGGTTTTTTTCCTGCCCTAAGCTATAAATTACAACTCTCAAGTACACCAAAATCTCTAACATGCAAAAAAAGACCCACGATAGTATTGTAATGCTATGATATTACAGGAACTGATTTCTCTCTTTACATTTTGGTAAGGGTTTCAGTCTTCTCCCTCCTTCTCCCTCATACCCTGCCAGTATTTTACAGAAATTAAAAAAGGCTTTGAAATGCTCCCCTGAGTGCTGAAGCGTCACTTATAATTTTATTTCACCTGGAGGTATTTTTTGACGCTTTTTTTCAGCATGTAACTTTGTAATCTGCCATGAAAGAATCATGTTGCTGACTCACCCTGGCAGCCAGCTAGTAGTTCTCACTAGCTGTCAGAGGTATAAAGCCTAAGGTCTCTAACATAAATAAGTAGTAGCAAGGACATAATAAGAAAATTAGCATTACTTGGAGCAAACAGATTATACATAGATTTGGCTTTTTAACAACCAGAAAGGAGAATTAGTAAAAAATCTGTTCCAGAGTTGTAATAAATAAATGCTGGGATATATAGTTATAAAGAAAAAAGTCTTTTTTGAAAATCCATTTTACCAATGATAGGGTCCAATAACAACTAATGTAACGAACTGGATGCTGCAATAATAGGCTTGTAAAAGAGAAAGAAGCAAAAGTGAAGACAGTCATACCTACCGATCACCCCTTTTAGAGAATGCTTGACTGATTTCCTTGTGGCTGCACAGCAGCTCACTTGCTTTGAGAAGCTTCTAATGCATCTTACCTTACCTTTGTACTCCAGTTCCTTTTCTAGCAAGTATTTACTATGAAGGTCTCTTTGGAGATCGTCTATCAAGATAATTACAACTGTTTTCAAAGGCTTGATGAGAATTTATTGCATTTTGAGTCATTTCAGGCTGAAACTGCAAAATATTCCCTTAGAATTAAATGCCTTTTCCTTCCTCTCTTTGTTCACTCAGTTCACTATGCCAAGTGGGGCTTGTCATACACGTGACCTCTTTCACATACTGTTGGTGATTGTGTTCTGGGTGATTTTATCTACTGCTAGCCCTTCTGAACAGCATCCCAAGGATATCCCCAAAAACTGAATTCCTATTAATCCCATATACGAAAGGAGTAGGTCATCAGGTAGTAAAGCAAGTGCCTCTCTCTTCCTCTCTGCTTCAGAGTCTGTGAAGCCTGTCCCAAATGAAACTTGAGTTACAGCAAGAACAACATTTCGTGTGTTGTTTGGTCAAAAACTGGAAATGCCAAAAAGTCTGCAAAGGATAAATAAAAGCATACTTTATATATATTGGGAACTTTTGGAAAAGTGCAGGTTGATCCCCAAAGCAAGCAAAACTCAGTACTGTTATGTGTCTTTGTCTGAATGGTACTGTTTACCCATTTGGCCAATCTATGTATATGCCTGTCAGATGGAATAGTTTGACATCATTGCAAAAGATACAGGGGATGAAGCTTAAAAAGTTGAATAAATTCTGAGAAATGCTCTCATCCCAGTGAGGGGATTGATTTTGACAAGCCACAGAATCAGGCTCAATATTTTCTACCTATCCTATATTTCATTTACAGATCTCTAGGTTCATTACTCATGATCAATATTTTACAGCTTGGTAATGGCACACAAGGCACAAAATAAACAGTTTAGATTTCCTCCTGATGAATGCAGTGATAAATCACTTCCTGTCCATCAAAGGGAAAAGTAGGGCACCCATTTGTCACACGGAAGGCTTGAAGCAAATGTGCCAACATCGCTTGAGCTTTACTAGTATTGTCCATAAACTTCTACTTATTATGACTGCAGCAAAGATTAAGATCATCTCTGATTTCGTAGAACTGCAGGAAATTTCAAATCAATAATGAAATTAAAAAAAAACTCTAACAAAACCATTACCTTTGGCTTGGGGATGACACCGTAACAGCTTTTTTCCCCTACATTTTTTACAGATAATTTAGTTACTGCTTGGGTGAAGTACCAGTATCCTTTTGTGGAAGGAAAAATATAACTGAACCTTTTTTTTTAGTGTACTGCCTCTTTTTTAATTTAAAGACTCAGAAATATCTTTCTGCAATAGGCTATATATAACAGTGTCAGATATAAAATAACTCATACAGATACATGAGCACTTCTTACAATTCCAGAAGTAAGTTTTACTTTTAGCAAACTTCAGTAAGCTTAGTGTTTTCACTGATGTCAAAGAAATTCCATATACATATGTAAAGGCATGATATAAAACTTCCATCTGAAAAATATATTGAAGTATTAATTTTCTCTAATTCTATATAAACTGGTATAAATTTTTTTAGACTGAATAGAGGGCTTTGCTTGCTCTATTATTCTTTATTGTATTCAAGCAGGACTAGTACAAAAGTATAGAATTCTGAAAATGAGTGGAGTTTGAATTGTAGCCTGGAGATTTTAAGTCAGTACAACTTGTTGAGCTTTCAAATAACACAAATGGTTGAGGAACAAAAAAATATTATTTCTATTAATCTAAAAATAGTTAAACAAAGGCTACAGAAACAGACTTAGGAAGAAGGGTGTATTTTATAGTTTATCTATGATTTCAACTATTTTTTAATTTACTGCTGTGATCTGAATACTTTAGTCTGAGATCTTTGTCTGTAATCAATATTTGAAATGCTTTTCTCTCCATTATGTGTCTGGTCTTGCATAATATAAGACACCTGTAGTCTACCTGATAGCAGAACATTTTGAAGTGAAAAATAATTAAAAAAATCCCCACCACATGAAGTGCATATGTTGTTGGTACTTATTTATATCTTTCCATTTGTTATATGAACTTTGCTAACACAAGCTGTACTGGAAATGGTTAAGGATAGCTAATAGATACCCAAGTCTCTGTCATTATTGTTGCATTTAAAGAAAAATGCTTAGTAATGCAAATTTTATCCATTAGAGGATGAAGACAGGAATTGTGTCTGTATAGAACTTGACACATATTTCTACCTTATTTTTAGTAGCTCTTCAACCACATGACCTTCTCGTTCAAATTTTTAGCATTAAGTAAATATTTCATGGAGTTCAGAAATATAGAGGAATGGGAAATATATGCTAACAAAAATCTGCTTTATACTAATAGATTATGGCTGAACTATCAGTTAAATGTCACTCTAATTGCCACCTATTGATAATTTTTTGTAATTTTCACATGAATGTCAAGTTTAATTTAAATGGAGCTTGTAATTGGTAAAAGTCAATCACTTAAGCACACCTCCTACTGAGATTATATTACTTTTTCATCACTTAGTGTACAAGCATTAATCAACTTGAGTTCTCTGTGTGAGCTTAACATCACTTTGGTGTTGTTATAGTAATTTGGATAAATTACTAAAGGAATCTGCCCCCCAGCCTATTCTTGGTTAAATACTAGGGAAACATTCAGTGCTGCTTTCCTGATTTTTGTTTTTCCCCTGCAGGAAGGAGGAGTAGTCACTCTCTTTAAGATCTGTCGCCAGGATTGCTTCAGATGTCTTTATCCCCAGACACTGAGAACCTTGGCATCAATTTGCTGCGTAGAGGAAGGGATGCACCAGCTGGAAAAGGTAGGCACTTCAGTATTCTTTACTGACTGCATCATAAAACAGAGAAGTGCTGTCTTTAATCTCTTCTAGGAATTGATAATATGGTGGTGTTTGATACTGATGATGCTCCACAGTATGCTCACCTCTTCTGTGCTGAAAACATCTTTGGCCTTTACAAAATTAGCTGCAGCAGTAGCATTATTCTATTATCCTTTCACAAATAAGGTTCCTAAGTGGGGATAATTTTTGTAAAACAGATAAACATGTTGGTGACTATGTCAAAAAAGCTAGAGAAATTACAATTTCTGGACTCTCTGGAGTGTTTTTTTTAGAAACTCCATTGTTTCACATAATCCTTAAAGGAGAGAAAGCTTTATACCTCTTTAAATCCTTTCGTGATGCTCTGGTAGGGCAGCTGCTTGTGGTACTGAAGCAACTTGTGAGAGTTATAATTACACACAAAGAAGTGGGACAGATATGATTGTTAGCCAAGCAAAAAATGTGTCTGCTAATCAGCAGCAGGTCTCACGAAAGCCAATTTTAACTGGGATGACCAACATCAAAACATTATCCAGATAAAATTATATCAACAGTTTAGGCTCCATTCCTTTCTCACTACATATTGCTATGTTTTGGAAAATGAACACTTCTGGTCACTAAATCATGATCTCATCCTTTGTATTTCATAAAACAGTCATCTTCCACAGCTGAATAATGGCCTCTTCAAGTTAATGATAAATGATTTCAGTGCCACTTTACATTGACGTGTCTTGTAATTTACTGCCCCAAATTCAAGCAAACTGTGGCAGAATATCTGAAGCAAAAAGCAAGTCTCTGAGCTTACAGTAAAGGAAGATGACTTAAATTTTTCTTGACATAATGCTGTTTCAGACTGACACCAGAATCAGTCTAAAAGGATCTTTCATTATGTCCACTATAATAGAGGAATTAATAGAGTTAGAAATAAAAAAGATTGATTTATCTCACCTGGTCCAATTCCTGGCAGCGTCAACATGTGTTTAATGTGACCCATATCAAAGCTGATGAAACAGGAATACTAGAAAAAGTGATAACTTTCAAGATCTTTCTTTAATCTACTTTAATGTTGGTCACAAGTTAAATTTATCAGGGTAAGCTTTACCACAGTCAGGACTGGAGCAGGGTTTAAAGGATTTTTAACTGAAATCCCCACCTTCAAGGACCTTCAATTCTTAAATCACCTCTTGGCAAAACTTAAGTCTGCAACATGAGGGCCTGGCAACATTAATCCTATTCACCTGACTGAACAGACAGGTTTATGAAAGGAGATTTGGTTATCACGCAGTCAACTTCTTTGCCCAAAATTGCGTTACTGAAGATCTGTATGTTATGTGGGTCCAGTACACAGTACAGTATGTTATGTGGCCTGGGTTTCTGTTGGGTGAGAATGTGTGACTTCATATGTCAAAAGAAACAAAGACATTTTCTCTGCGAGGAGGTTAATGTGCCTCCAAGTGCTCATGGATATTAAACAACACAGGCCATGTCAACCATATGTCATCTGTAAATAATCTATCAGAATGTGACAGCCCAGGTTTGCCAATTCAGATTGCTGAGAAATGATAGTAAGCAAGAAGGTTTTACTACTCTTTGTATTCTCTTTTCATCCTTTTTGTACATTTATTTAGATGCAACAAGGTATTCTGACACAGGGAATCAATGGAAAGTGCATGTTTCGGATGACCAGTATTTTGATGGGAACAATACCCCAGTTTTTTATATTGTCTTACTTAAAAAAGAGAGGTTTATTTCTTCCAAAATTTGAAGTACTCTTTCAAAGAAAAAAAAAAAGAGGGTTAACAGTATTAGTACTATCAGTTAACAATATTATCATTACAGAAGTTAGCATAGGACGTTTTATTTGTCAGAAAGAGTGGTTTCTATTATCCAACTGAGTACTGGGTGCTAGTGAAGCATTTAATTTGCTCTAATGTGAATATCATTATGCCACCTAGTGCATTAAAACATCAGTGCAATTTGAATTTGATTTTTAATGACAGACGCTCCATACAAAAAAAAAAAAAAGGCTTGGACTCCAAAAGATTCAGATGAGGCAAATCAAGATAAAAAAACCCACCAAAACCACACAAGCCCTCCCTCCTCTATTTTTCAATTAGAATTTACAGCCATTAAAGTGCTTAGAAGACCACTTAAAAGAAAGCATCAAGAGCTATAATTTCTAATGAAACATTTATCTGAGAGGTGAACTAAAATGGGGTAGTATACTTTCTGCAGTAATTGCAGTGCTTAATTACTAAAGACATTGGGAATATTGTTTATTTATCCAGTGCTCTTTGATCTTGCCAATTCAGTGGCAAGAACATGTATTAATGTAGGTGTTATTTAGAAAATGAGCAAGGAAGTCCGCAGTTCACAGGAAGCAATCTGAGTAGAGAATATCTTAACTTTTTAACGTCTATCTTTAGATACACCTGAGTATTTAGCTTTCTTTATACTTGGTGCAAATTTAATGTGAATCGGTTTACTGGGTTTGCACCATTTGTCTTGAATTGGTTTTTGGATTATAATATGGAAATATTGTCCTCATATACTAATAAAGGAAAGTAACACAATGTAGAAAATTGCCTATTATAAACAAAAATATTTCTTTCCATTTAAAAAAAAGACAAACGTGCTCTTCCCATTCACATATATTTAAATATATCACACTTGAAAAAGCCAAAGCCATTATTACTTTTTTATCATCTTGATAAACAAACTGATCTTTGCTATAATTGCAGTGAAAAGGTAGTTGTTGCAATGATTTTTTTTTCCTCACTTAGGTGAGTCTAATTGGCTGTGTGTACAATAAAGCAGAATCAGTAGGTTAAAATGCTAGTTTAGAATAGTTGTTATTTCACTTGCAAGTACTTTACTGAATTTTGAAAAAGTACTGTTACTTTGTATGCTGAACTATAGAGCTCCAGGAACTCAACAGTAACAAATTAGTCAGGCAATTAAAGTAGAAAAATAGTGAAGAAATAGCTCATTTCGTGACTGGGGACTGTGTAAATAAATGTTCTATGTAAGCTGTTCTTGATAAGTGGTAATTTTGGTGCTTCAAGCTGCTTGCAGATGTCTGGTTGTTTGGTACACTTTAATTTTGTAATCTCCTGTGACAGCAGCAGGTTTGAGATCACTGTTTGGTCTCCGCTGTCTGACCAGTCCCACTTCAGAGAGGAGTAGAGAGATCCTGGAAAAGCAATCAGAACACATTATTCCTATAGCTTCCCATCCCTGTACCCAAGAGAACCTTGTCATCTGTGTCTTGTGGCTTTTGAGCATGCAAAGTTTTCAGGGGAAAGCTCACTCCATCAGAAAAGATGGGTATTCTTGATTTAGGTGTTCCAGAGTTTAAGCAGAGACAATATGTAATACAGGTAGTTGGTAATATAGAAAATACATAAAATCTTTCAGAAGAACTGAAAGGAGTCTGTGGGAGGTGAGCACAACTGAAACTGGGGGACAATATTAGTGCTGCACATGCAGGTACACATGTTGGTGTATCCTGCCCTGAGATTAAGGACAGAAATACAATGATGTATTGGGAGATTGATTCTGAAGACAGATATTTGTTGGGGATTCTGGAGGGTAGAATATCGGAACCTTTATGAGTGTGCTTTGAAAACTTAATTCACCTCAAGGGTTACCATATAGGAAGGACTGTTGGAGTCACAGAGTTGGGATAGATTATCCTATTTTGTGAAACTTAGGGTTCAAAAAAATAACATTGTGATCTTGATAACATACATCCAGCAAATTGTGTTAGGAATAACTGTACCTTAAATACTGTTTTCGTCATCAAGACAGACATAAAATCTAACAGATACTGTTTTCAACATGAAGCAACCTTGCCTGGAAATGAGGTTTCTGTCTGACTACAATCATACATCTTTAGCACATTTTTTTGCCTAAAGCAATTCTTCAGCCTTTTTCCTTCCTGCATTTGCTGACATGCAGCCTCATTAAAGTCTAAAGTCTGTGGCAGTTTCTCTGCCCCAGGTCTCTCTGTACAAAGGCTGTCGGTGGTGGTGCTAAAAGGCATGGATTTCTACTTTTTGCCCTACCTGAAGCTCAGTTGTGTGATTTTTTTTCACTGAGGCTTCTGCTACAATGAACTTCCAGCTTCAATAAAAGAGCTGCAGAGCTAGTTCAGAAATAAATAGCAAACAGTGTAATGTACTGCAGTTTTTACTGTGCATGTGAAAAGTTATCACATTAAAAATATTCAGCTCAGCTGAGACCTAGATCAAGGCTCAACTGCTACAAAAATGTAATGATTATACAAATAGTCATTCAAGCAGCTGCCTAAATATTAACAGTGTGCAGTGTGTGTTTACTTACACTACTTAAACTACTCCAGAAAGTAAGACACCTGGAATCAACTCATTAAGAGGAGATAATCCAGAGACACCGGTGACAACAGTTACTTTCACTAGTAAACTCCACTTTTTAATAAATGACACAGCTTTTATCAATGTGCTTTAAACAAAATTGCCTTGGAATAGATTATAAGTTGCTTTAAATGCTTAATTTAAAGCACATTATATCAGATTACCTCCAGGAAAAGAATCTAAAGAAGGGTGAAGCAAGTACAAAGTGTACAAATTTCGTGGCTGAGAAACTATGAATTTCACAAGGACTTCTTAAATATGAGTAACCTAAAAATTTATTATTCACTGTGAACCCAGCCTGCTTCTCAGAACAACCATGATGTTATACACAATAATAATATCTGCATGATGGGAGTGCAGTCTGTCAATGATACCGCTGAAAAAACCAAGCTTTTGTGGGGAATTAAATAAAATGTTTATTATAGAACCTGCAACCACAACTTTTTCCTAGCTTTTGAGCAAACGTGTTGATTACTTGATTCAGCTCTATCCACTTGGAGCTTTCAGTTTCAAACATTAGCTTCTATCAAAAACATGGAGTAACTTTGTTTCAGATGAAGTAATCTCAGCTTTTAAAACCACTGAAGT